CAGTCCTTGCAAGCAGCCACACCACAAAGCTGCCACTCTTCAGCTTCCCCGCAGGTTGATTGGTCTGTCTGTGAAATGGCAGCAACATAAATATTGGACTGGGGAAAGGGGAGAGGAAGTGAACTTGAAATAGTTTTGCAAAAGTGAAACCAAGGTCCTCATAGGCAGATGGCGACCCTGGAGGGGGGAATCGCCTAAAATTTGGCATGAGGTGCCCCTGTTCAGGAGGCACTCCATGGCCTCTTCCTCGAAATACTTTTCTCCCCCAGCTATTCTTTCCATTGCTGAATTGGGTCTGGAAAAGACAATATGGATAGCTCACTGGTTCAGGTATCTGGTTGCAGAGCCAGAACTTCCATTTCTTCCCGTGCATCCTGCAAGTAGAGCCAGCTTGTGTGCCCTTGAGCAAGCTGCACAGTCTCTGGGCAGAAGGGAATGGTAAACCACTTCTGAGTGCTTTCTATTTGAAAAAGGTCAGTATAAAATCAGAATTGAATTGATGGCAGGATTACTATTATTAAACAGAGATGCACTGAAACAGAATTAGGGATATTTAAAGAGCTGGATGTCTTTGCAGCTGGAATATCTCTCTCTCTCTCTCTCTCTCTCTCTCTCTCTGTGTGTGTGTGTGTGTACACGTCATCTTTTTCTCACACTCCATTTGTGTGATCCTGTGTGGTGTGAGTCAGGCTTGGTAGGGTGTGTGTGTGTGTGTACGTCTTTGTGTTTCTTAAATGTATCTCCCAGAGCCGAGTAACCCTTTTTTGGACTAGAACTGACAGAATCCCCCCAGGAAGATTCTGGCGTAATCCCAAGCACAGGAATGTTTCAAAAGCCCCGACTACGTACAAGGCGGCCCGAAGTAGCGTGCCTGCAGGTGGCGACAAATGCCCTTGAAGCCGAGCGCTGTCCGTGGTGCTGAAGGCTGCCGCCAGCCAGAACGAACTTGGTCGGCGACGCGGATCGCGGGGAAGACGGGGAGAGAAGAGACCCACCCCTTCGCCTCCTGCCTTGCAAGCGCCGAAATCTGAGTAGAGAATAAGGAAACTTGGGAGGACGGCGGAGGACTCCCTGCCTCTTTCCCAGGGCCCGGGCTTCCCATAGAAGCCAGGCAGAAAGAAACCTCGATTCCTCCGTTGTCCTCCCCTTGGTCCTTGCTCAAGCACGCGATCCCCACCCCAGCCGTATCTATGCCTCCGGCGTGGCCACCGGCCACGGTTTAGCTCGTGTTTCTTTACTTGCGCTTCTCAAGCCTACCAAGCAGGGCGGGCGTGGAAAGAGAGACAGGACCAAAGTGGGTGGGTGGGCGAGCGAGTGAAGGTAACGACAGCCCTCGTCCTTGCATTTCCTTTTCTTTGGGCTGGTTTTCGTTGCTGCCTCCTGGACAATGTTACGAGCCTCTATCCAAAGTTCTTCAGGCACTCTGTCCACCAAATCTAGTTCCTTAAATCTGTTCTTTACTTCCACTGTGTATTCATAAGGGATTTGGTTTAGATTATACCTGAGCGGCCCAGTGGTTTTTCCTAATCTCTTCAGTCTAAGCTTGAATTTTGCTATGAGAAGCTGATGATCAGAACCGCAGTCAGCTCCAGGTCTTGTTTTTGCTGACTGTATAGAGCTTCTCCATCTTTGGCTGCAGAGAATATAATCAATCTGATTTCGATATTGCCCATCTGGTGATTTCCATGTATAGAGTCGCCTCTTGTGTTGTTGGAAAAGAGTGTTTGTGATGACCAGCTTATTCTCTTGACAAAACTCTATTAGCCTTTGTCCTGCTTCTTCCTTTATTGATCATTGCATTGACCAACTAATTCTGCTCAAAAGTTTTAGAGTAGAACTATTCCTTTATGCTATGAACAAAGTTAGAAGAGAACTGCATAATCATGAATGTTTTACTGACCTGCAGTAAGGTTGACAAGACCTCTTTGGAGTGGACACCCACACATGAAGAAAATAAACCTTCTAGCAAGTAGACAACCCACAGTTCTTTGCCAGGAAAACATTTTTCATTTAAATTATCTGGGATCCTTTAAGTTAAACTCGACTGACAAAAAAAGCAACCTGCTATGCTTCCCACCAGGCTTATAATATATACTTTGGATGTGAATGATGTTCTTGCCCCAGGATGTAGTTTTAAGTGCCAAATCTACCTGAAGTTCTATGACAAAGTAGGAAACCTTTTGAGTAGAGGCAGGGTACCTACTTCTTTCCTTGCTACTTACAAAGGTCTGCTTGCCACCCCTCTTGACTGAGGAGATATAGGAAACCTTTTGAGTAGAGGCAGGGTACGTACTTCTTCCCTTGCTACTTATAAAAGTCTGCTTGCCACCCCTCTTGAGTGAGATGTTCAGGACAAAAGGGCAAATTTAATTTGCAGCCTCCTCCATCAGCATCCATTGTTGTGGAACTTTACAGCTGCCCTTTATAAAAACCAAACCATCTAAACAATGGCTGCTTTCAATCTGACCAAAAGCCTGTGCTGAGAGGAATGCAGTCCTTGCAAGCAGCCACACCACAAAGCTACCACTCTTCAGCTTCCCCGCAGGTTGATTGGTCTGTCTGTGAAATGGCAGCAACATAAATATTGGACTGGGGAAAGGGGAGAGGAAGTGAACTTGAAATAGTTTTGCAAAAGTGAAACCAAGGTCCTCATAGGCAGATGGCGACCCTGGAGGGGGGAATCGCCTAAAATTTGGCATGAGGTGCCCCTGTTCAGGAGGCACTCCATGGCCTCTTCCTCGAAATACTTTTCTCCCCCAGCTATTCTTTCCATTGCTGAATTGGGGCTGGAAAAGACAATATGGATAGCTCACTGGTTCAGGTATCTGGTTGCAGAGCCAGAACTTCTATTTCTTCCCGTGCATCCTGCAAGTAGAGCCAGCTTGTGTGCCCTTGAGCAAGCTGCACAGTCTCTGGGCAGAAGGGAATGGTAAACCACTTCTGAGTGCTTTCTATTTGAAAAAGGTCAGTATAAAATCAGAATTGAATTGATGGCAGGATTACTATTATTAAACAGAGATGCACTGAAACAGAATTAGGGATATTTAAAGAGCTGGATGTCTTTGCAGCTGGAATTTCTCTCTCTCTCTCTCTCTCTCTGTGTGTGTGTGTACGTCATCTTTTTCTCACACTCCGCTCTCTCTGTGTGTGTGTGTGTGTACACGTCATCTTTTTCTCACACTCCACTTGTGTGATCCTGTGTGGTGTGAGTCAGGCTTGGTAGGGTGTGTGTGTGTGTGTACGTCTTTGTGTTTCTTAAATGTATCTCCCAGAGCCGAGTAACTCTTTTTTGGACTAGAACTGACAGAATCCCCCCAGGAAGATTCTGGCGTAATCCCAAACACCGGAATGTTTCAAAAGCTTTGCGGGACCCAGGTCTACGCCCCCCAGGAAGATTCTGGCGTAATCCCAAGCACAGGAATGTTTCAAAAGCCCCGACTACGTACAAGGCGGCCCGAAGTAGCGTGCCTGCAGGTGGCGACAAATGCCCTTGAAGCCGAGCGCTGTCCGTGGTGCTGAAGGCTGCCGCCAGCCAGAACGAACTTGGTCGGCGACGCGGATCGCGGGGAAGACGGGGAGAGAAGAGACCCACCCCTTCGCCTCCTGCCTTGCAAGCGCCGAAATCTGAGTAGAGAATAAGGAAACTTGGGAGGACGGCGGAGGACTCCCTGCCTCTTTCCCAGGGCCCGGGCTTCCCATAGAAGCCAGGCAGAAAGAAACCTCGATTCCCCCGTTGTCCTCCCCTTGGTCCTTCCTTGCTCAAGCACGCGATCCCCACCCCAGCCGTATCTATGCCTCCGGCGTGGCCACCGGCCACGGTTTAGCTCGTGTTTCTTTACTTGCGCTTCTCAAGCCTACCAAGCAGGGCGGGCGTGGAAAGAGAGACAGGACCAAAGTGGGTGGGTGGGTGAGCGAGTGAGGGTAACGACAGCCCTCGTCCCTAAAACTAACTTTCGCGTCATGTATGGATCCTTCTCGCTTAGACCCCGGCATTAGTTGGAGAGCTGAGATTTGGCCAGGCGGGGTAGAGTGAGGGGGGGAGAGGAGGGTTTTGACGTGTTGGGGGTTCCTCAGCGCTGTTTCCTACGTAAGGGGAAGGGAGGTTTGGGCGGGGGGAGGAGCGGGACTGTGTCTTCTGAGTCGTGGTCGTTGCTCTTCTTTCCTCCCTCCCTCTCCCTACCGTTGGCTTTCTATCGAACTGGGAGCACTCAAACGATGCCCAACCTGCATTGAGGAAAGGAAGCATCGCTAGAAAAATAATAAAATCCGGTGTGAAATCACCCGTCAAGACGCCAAACAAGGTGTGTATTCTTTGTGGACTGGGAAGGGGGGGGGTGAAAGAAAGGGGGAGGGACGTGGGACGGTGCAGGAGGAAAGACACTGGAAAGGAGGAGACCGGGCGCTGGGGATGGGGAGGGGTGGACCGCGAAATGCCGAAGACAAGAGACGTCGGCGCTCCTTAGCAGCGAAGAAGTAAGGATGAGAACAAGCGCGCGGGGTGGGGTGGGGGAGAGAACAGCAGGAAAGGAGTGGGAAACCCAAAAGCAGGGAGTGGAGCCAAGAACCCACGGGCTGGGGTGGGAGAAGGCATCGGAGCAGAGGAAAGGGAGGGAGGAAGCAGGGAGGGAGCGGCGCGGGGTCGGGGCGGGGGAGCAGCCAGTGAGCGCTACAAGAGCGGGTGGGGAGCAGCGAGAGAAAGCGAGAAGGCGAGTGCCCGGGATGGGCAGCTGAAGCCGGGACGAGCGGAAGGCCGGTGGGGGCGGGGGGAGGCGCAGGGAAGAAGAGATAGACGAGAGGTGGCAGGGAAACGAAATAAGTAAGTCCCACAGTAAGATGTGGGGAAAGAAGTGAGGGACAACGGTGAGGGGCAGGAAAGCAGCAGGAGCAAGAGCAGCCGCCAGGGACTGAAGCAAACTGAGTAGCTAGTGACGGGGGGGGGAGTGTTGAGGTGTGGATAAGGGGAGGGGAGCAGCAAGAGACAGAGGGGAGGGAGGGGGAAGAGGAAGACAGGGAGAAGTGAGGCAGCCAGTGGGTGTCGGCGGCGGCAGGGCTCCAGAGGGAGCGCAGAGGTGGAGGGCGAGGCAGGGCAGCCCAGGGAGGGGAGGTGCTCGACGCGGCTCCCGGGGATGCCCAGTCAGGAAGGACATGCCGCCGTCGGCTTGCTGGAGCTGGAACTGGAGCTGGTGCTGGCGTGCCGAAGAAGAGACGGACGGACGGAGCCTACCTGCCGCGGCTTCTCCTTAGCCCGCTGAAGGGCTGGGATTTCGCCTGCCGCCCGCTCCGCCGCTCCCGTCGGGGGGTAGGCCATGGTGACCCTGGGGAAGCGCTGCCCGCCGCCGCCGCTGCCCCCGCCGCCGGAGTGAAGGCGCTGCCTTAGGGTCCCCTCCCGCTCCCCACTCCCTCCCCGCCATGGAGCTGTCCAACAGCACGGTGGCGGCGACGGCCGGAGCCAATAGCAGCGGCGGCGGCGGCGAGCCGACGGCGAGTCCGGCCAGCCCGACGGCAGCGGCCAGCCTGGGCTACCAGCTGGGCACGTCGGTGGCCCTCGGGGCGCTGATCCTCTTCGCCGTGCTGGGCAACGCCTGCGTGATCGCGGCCATCGCGCTGGAGCGCTCCCTGCAGACGGTGGCCAACTACCTGATCGGCTCGCTGGCCGTCACGGACCTGATGGTGTCGGTACTGGTGCTGCCCATGGCCGCCCTCTACCAAGTGCTGGGCAAGTGGACCTTGGGCCAGGTGACCTGCGACATCTTCATCTCGCTCGACGTGCTGTGCTGCACCTCCTCCATTCTCCACCTGTGCGCCATTGCCCTGGACCGCTACTGGGCCATCACCGACCCCATAGACTACGTCAACAAGCGGACGCCCCGGCGGGCCGCAGTTCTGATCAGCCTCACCTGGCTGATCGGTTTCCTCATTTCTATCCCGCCCATGCTGGGCTGGCGGACCCCCGAGGACCGCTCGGACCCCAACGCCTGCACCATCAGCAAGGACCCCGGCTACACTATCTACTCCACCTTCGGCGCCTTCTACATTCCCCTTCTCCTCATGCTGGTCCTCTACGGGCGCATCTTCAAGGCGGCCCGCTTCCGCATCCGGAAGACGGTCAAGAAAGTGGACAAAAAGCAGCCGGCGCAGCAGCCGCCGCTACCGCTGGCAGCTGAACCGTCTGCGGAGCCCGTGGCCGACACCTGTCTCTCCATCTCGCCCGCCAGCGAGCCCAAGAAGGCCAACGGAGGACCTCCACAGCCGCTGCAGCAAGCCAAAAGCTGGAAAAGTGCCGTCGAGCCCAAAGGAGGCGGCGGAGGCGTCTGCATCAACGGGGCCCTCCGGCCAGGGGGTGAGGACGGCCCGGTGGCCCCCTCGGCTTTGGAGATCCTGGAGGTGACGCCTTCCAACGCCACCAAAAGCCACCTGCCCCTGCCCAACCACCACCACCACCACCACGAGCAGCAGCAGCAGCCCTCCCTGCCGGGCTCGGCCACGCCGGCCTTGGAGCGGAAGAACGAGCCCAAGAACGCGGAGGCCAAGCGCAAGATGGCTTTGGCCCGCGAGCGCAAGACGGTCAAGACGCTGGGCATCATCATGGGCACCTTCATCCTGTGCTGGCTGCCCTTCTTCATCGTGGCCCTGGTCCTGCCCTTCTGCGAGGAGGGCTGCTACATGCCCGACTGGCTGGGGGCCGTCATCAACTGGCTGGGCTACTCCAACTCCCTCCTCAACCCCGTCATCTACGCTTACTTCAACAAAGATTTCCAAAGTGCTTTTAAGAAGATCGTCCGGTGCAAGTTTTGCACGCAGTGACGGGCGGGGGAGGTGATGGACCCACAGACAGGAGCAGCGGCGGACCCCTTTACGAGAAGGGGAGAGAATATGGGTCTTTAGTGTGTGTGTGTGGGGGGGGTGTAGGGGGTTGCTGCTGAAGAGGGACATCTTATTCTCTCCTCCCCCTCTGACTTCTTGAACTTTCCCGCGCATCTTCTGCTGCCATCAGTGCTTTGCGGACCGCCCTCCTACCTAGCCCCACTGGTCTGCCCTGGAAGAGGGCTGGACTATTTCTTCGCCCCATGGCCGTGGGGCGCTTGGAGACTCCTTTCTTTGGAGGCGGAAGGGAAGTCCCCTCTTGAACCCTTTCCTCGCCTTTTTCTTTTTGTCCTGCCTTGAGTTCGAAACACACACAAACCAGAGGCGCGGAGGGCCGCCTCCCTGCCTATTGGCCGCTCCCACGAGACTATAGTCCGTGTGCATCCGTCCCTCTATCTTGTCCTTTCCCTGAACTGCTCCTCCACACGTAAGCAAGCCGGCTCAGGAAGGTAGGATGCCCTTTGGAAAGCTGACTGTCCATTTTCCTTTGTTTGTTGTGTCGTTCTGGGGCCTCGACTCCTTCTCAGAGTTTACTCCTTACTCTTAACAACTGTGCTGGATCCACCAAGCTGGTCCACGTGCCTCTGGAGAAGGGGGGGGATGTTCATTGAGGATGTAGGGATGATTTGACGTAGGATGGCTTGCGGATTTGAAAACAAAAAACAACAGGGTATCCACCCGACTTTTAGAACCATAATAAAAAAAGAACACCATCCTCTGCATTAAAAAAAGGAGAAAAGTCATTCTTGTCTGTTTTTTTCTCTCTCTTCCCTCTCCGCCCCCTCCGCCCCACCCCCAACCGCTCCCGGGTAAAAGAAGAAGCCAGAAAGTCTGCTTCTTATTAAGGCCAAGTATGCAGGAACTCTGAAAGGGAGCGGAGCAACCCGGACAAGGGAGAGATGCTCCACCGGTTTTGTGAACAGTGCGTTTAAGCACGCGGGGAATGGATGAGCTTCGCTCTGATAACGCACCTGCCTGCGCAATAAGATTGCAAGGGATGATGGCGTGATATGTCATATGTAGACCCCCCTGGGATTTTGTTCGGGAAGCAGGGAGAGAGGATTTGAGCAAAGGGGGTTTGTTCGAAAAACAGCAAGGGGCCCCCTCCCTGCAGGAAGTTTACTGGGCGAGAAGTCTTCCCCGAGTTCCGTGGGTCTTTAAGAAGGCTGCCGGCTGAGGCTCGGGGTTTGGAAAGGAGGGCGGTTGGATCAGGTGTCCCGTGGACCACCCAGCAAAAGCAGCCGAATCGCTTCTCGAGGGCTGATCGAGTGCTCGGAAGTGGTCGAAGCCAACTTCCCTTTCACCGCCAACTCTTTATCGGCTCCGGGGGGTAAAGAAGAAAGAGGCAAATTGGGGAGGCAGACTGAGCCTGATTTTTCACCCGGCTGTATTGAAGGTGGGAGGCAGAAAAAGAGCAGGATTCAGACCGTGCTCATTTGGTTATAAAGCAAGTGTCTTTGATAGGATGCAAGTTAAGAAAAAGTCTCTCCGGGGTCACAGCGGCTTCTGGTGGATCATGCCCGAGGTTTCCTTTGGAGAGAGAGAAAAGATCAGTCAAACTTACTGCAGTTTCCCATTGTTCTTGGAAGGGAAAAACAAAGAAAGGCAAATCCTGTTTTATGAGCATGTCACACTATTACGACCTTTGGCATCACTTTGTTTCTTTTGACTGATACCATGTAAACACATGAAAGGTGCCTAGGACGTGGATCCCTGCAAGGCTCCAGTTAATGGCTCCTGCTGACTTCAGAGCCCTTTGAGTGAGCAAGCCTGTGTGCCCAAAGGAGGAGGGAGCCCACAGTGTATACCGTTCAGAAAAGCGAGGGAAAGACTAAGCTGCTATTCCGTGAATCAAATCAATGGTGTCATAGAAGGTATTTATAAAAACATTCAAATGTTCTGTCACAAAAATGTGGCAACAGACTAGGTAAAAGTTTGGGTGTCTCTGTGTATGTCTCTTTGGAAAAAGGTCTTCCATCAAGTGGTTATGTATCAAAGAAATCTGGTTGAAAATACAACACAGCCCTAGACTTCTTTAATTCAATGCCACACCTGTGCCCCTTTAAAATAGATGGGGTTATACTGGCTTAACCATAGTGAGGTGTTTCATGGAAGCACACTGCTTATTTTATTAAGAGAGCAGTTTAATGCACAATTAAAGGAAATTGTGCCAATCGGTTGATAAGATTTTTTCCTGAAAAGAACTGAAGTATCCTTACCTCAATACCAAGGATTCCATAGTGCAGCCTTCTCCAAAGTAATGACCTGATTTGCTGGGTTTCAGTTCCATAATCCACAGTCACTAAGACTGCCGTAGGGTGCTTCCAGATGAAGGGTTTTACGGAACCACCAGCCTGCCTCACTCATAGAATCTTTCTGTGTGTGCGTGCACACATAAGATGTCACTTGTAACCTTCCCACTGGTCCTTCTGTCTCTTTTTCTTACCACAAAACAAAAAACATTCGGGGTGGAATAGATGGGTGTGTTTTGACAACTAGCTTGCTCTCAAATAGCAAACCAGGGGTGGGCCACTGTGGCCCTCCAGATGTTTTTGGACTGCAGTTTTTACATTTCCTCACCACTGGCTATGGTGAAGAAGAAGAACTGGAGATGTAGGCCCAAAATATTTGGAGGGGAACAGTTGACCCACTTTAGGTGTAAAGAGGATTGCTAGGGTCAAGAAGCTCTCTACTAGTCACCCTCCCCTGCCAATGGACTTTGGCTCAGGTCAAATCCTTTATGGTAGTCCGGAAGGAAAACTGGTGGGGTTTGCTGGGAAGTTCTGTGCCACTGATGTGGATGGGGTTTTATGCTACAGCGTGGAAGTGACTTCAAACAGATCCCAGTCATTTCAAAGAAGCTTGCAAAAAAAAAGTCTAGTGATTCATGTTGTTTACTGCCATCTGCTCAAGTCACAAAACAAATGTGTGGTGGCATAAAATGTATGAACCATGAGGTCTGAATGTCCAGTCTCAGGAACTGTTGTTGGAAAAGGCTTTGCACTATTTGCAGGCTGTAAGAGGTGTGCCTTAGGATCTACCCGTTAGGCCTTAGGACCTAATAGGTAGAAGCTGCAACCCTAAGTGCACATTTCAGGAGGTAAAGGGCATTTTCACACAATGTTTGTTTCCATGGAAAGCTTTTAAGATGCTTCCATCAGAGACATACTAGACATGGCAAAAGTGTTAAGTCAGAATAATAATAAATATTAATGTGCAGGCAAGTCAGTTTTGACTTAGGGCAGCACTTTTAAAGGTTTTCAAGGTAGAGAATCTACAGAAGTGGTTTCCCATTCCCTTCTTCTGGGGGCGCCGTGGGACTGTGCAGCTTGCTGAATGCCACACAGGGCTGGCTCTACTCTACAGGAGGCATGGCGAGGAATCAAATCCCCAACCTCTGACTCTGCAGACAGACACCTAAACCACTGAGCTATCCAGGCACCTTCCAGAATAATAAGCATTTATTTAAAAATAAATAAAAGATTCCTAAACAGGAGACCAGATCTGTGTTAATCAGTTTATATGATTATCCCTGAAAAACACATTAAGAAATCCATTTGTGAGATATATTTTACATATGTACCGTATGTTGATGCTTTGTGTGTATATGTATATATACATATATGCATCTACATATGTATATATGTGTGTGCATATACATAGACACATTGCATGCATGCATGCATGCATGCATACATACATACATACATACATACATACATACATACATTACATACATACATACATACATACATACATACATACATACATACATACATACATAATCTTACACATAGGAACTCTAGCTGTTTAGAATATAGCGCACACAAAATAGTGATTTATTTCTTGTGCAGGATTGAAACACCTATGCTAAAATCCAGTGGTTGGTCTCAAACAGGACAGACCCAAGTGACAAATGGGGGCATGTTACCTCTATGCTTATGTAAATTTCATTTTTTTGAATGGGTCTACTTTAGATGGGATCAATAATTAGACTTTGGCCCACATTTTCTTATTCATGGGGATAATAGTCTTCCACTGACAATGTATCCGTGTAGAATTTTTATTGTGCAGAATGTGACAGAAGAATGTATTTGGACAAGCTCTGTAACATTGTTACCAGCCAGACCTGGGTTCTAAGATTCTCTGGCAAGGAATTGGGCATAGACGCAACAGCTGAACCAAAGGCCCAATTTTATTTGAATTGCAGCAAATAAAAGGTCAGCTGGGACTCCTCTTAAAATCAAAGAAGATCCCAAAAATACAGTGTACATATGTTTTATAATGATACAAAGAGTTATAAAAGTACTATAATTCTATTGGTCAATTGTACCTCAACTTTGGATCCAGTCCCTCATTGGGTAGTGATGCCAGCTACGCTGATCTATTGGTTCCCTATAGATATGCAGATTGTGTGCCCATGTGTCCTTGGCCTATGTCCAAGATGCCCCTGAATGTCTGGGGAAAGAATCTTATCTTTTGTATGTTTATGGGTAGCCTTCCTGGGCCCTGATATATGGCCTTCACTCTCTTGCTCCCTGGTGTGAATGTTTTGGCCGGTCATGGCTGGTTTCCTCCTGCCTGCATTCCAGGACCAGGCTATCTGCCAGGTCAAAAGGAGGATGGGCCAAAAATGTGTCACAATGACATTCTATACTATGTGTGAATGTTCCTCTATTTGCCTGAGCTACTATGTGTGAATGTTCCTGGCCCTAGTTGCTCTGAAGCCTGTGTTTTCTCTGCTAAAGGTTGTACTAAAATTTAGTTTGATTCTGCTCCGGTATCACTTCCCCCTTTTTAAATCCTGACAACAATAAAATAGCTGAATTTAAATCAGCACCTGGCTTTATCGCTGAAGCAACATTTGGGGTGGCACACCTGGTAGCCACACAGAGGAGTAAACATAGAAATAATACAAGCAATTAAACTTAAAACGATCACAAGTACAATCCCCATCAAGATGATGCATACAGTCCTCCTTGTTGGAGCAGTATCATGTCAAGAGCAAGCCTGTGGTTCCACAGAGTCCAAGATATGCAAGGAAAAAAGAAACCCTGTCATTTTTATTAATTTCACTAAATCCCTTTGTCCTGTAGTCTAAGGAAAAGTTGAAGATCTTCCAGCCTAGTCGCCATCCAGTGACAACCCATGTGGTTTTCTCCATCCTTTTTTCTTTTCCATCCACTGGGTAGGGGAGGTCTGCAACTGGCAGCAATCCCTTCAACTTTTACTTCTTCTCCTGTAGGAGATGGGAAATTCCAAGCACATAGTTATGCCAGTCCTCCCATTCCCCCCCCCTTTGGAAGGCCTCCTTCCTCAGTCTTGAAACTAGTTACAACAAAAGAGCCACTGTAATGGGACTCAAAGGGGCTTATGGCCAATTTGCCCCTTTGTAAAATCCTCATCCTTAAAAGGGCCTGAGAAAACATGTCTCTTGTAAACATTTCAC